AATATGAACTCATCATATGGTAACACATAACCACATTGCACTGCAGTATATTCCTACATTTGTAACTAAAGTAGCCCAGAAAACCAAGAGCCTACAGAGCTTGTAATTGACTCGATAGACTCCTCTAACTTTTAAAAGCAGACCGCCTGAGCCAGTTCCAAAGAAGCTATATTTAGCGCGAGCCCACACGCCACTCGACCTCACAGATCCCGGTGGCACATGCGACAAAAAAAGACCAAAAGGATGCACGACAATAGGCATTGATCAAGTCCCGTATGAATAGAACGGCAAATATGGCGGCGGAGAAACGGTTTGAAATTGAAAAAGCGCTGAAGTGCGGTGAGGGCTTTCTGCATGGATGCTAATGTGAGGAATAATTTATCAGCAGCACCAGTGTTTGACCTGTGACCCCGAGGGAGGAGTGGAAAAACAAGGAGAGAAACATGTGAGAAATATATATAGACTGTGTCAGGTATAAGCAGACATACAATTATCTGCTGGTGAGTCATAGGAAAGTGAGGTAAACCTTGTTAGAAGACAAATTTTCTGTACCGCACGTGTGAAGACAAAGCCCTGAAGAGATAAATAAAAGATGCTGTACCTGATTTTTACTCTTAAAAACCAAAAGGATGCTCCGATATAATACTAGTATCGATCATTGACAATTTTGATGGATCAGATACTCGTTAAAAGATATCGGTTTTCTTAATACCCAATTTAGCTCTATAAACTGGTGATGATTTACCGTATTTTCCACACTATAAGCCTCCAACCCCATCAAAAAACGACCGCGCGCCCCACAATCCAGAGCGAACTATACATGAGTCCACTCGGGTGTCCCAGCACGACTTCAGTAAACTACAAAGCCGCACCTATCGTAGCGCACGCAAACACGCACGGAGCAGACAGCGACCGCACAGCGAAAAACACCCGCAGCCACACTCATCACTCCACTCAGACGAGGAATGGAACGGAGGAACGAACCGAAAAAGCGAGTCCAATGTGCCACTTCTAGCCACAACTGAACAAAGCCCAGAGTCACCGTGAACGCGCCAAACAAAGTCCCACTGACCCATCCAACTGTTGTGTTTCGTTTAAAGTCTGGTGCAGTTTATTTGTGAAAAAAGTTCAGTGACAGTGCGCCTTATAATCAAGAGCGCTCTATAGTGCAGAAAATATGGTACTCGGCAATGGTCAACCCAAACACCTCCTAAAATCTTACTTTTTTTTTACTCTTACTATTTTTTCAAAGTTGTATTGTATTGTTGTATTGTACATATATATTTTATTCCATTTTCCATTTGTTTTTAAAGGATATTTTTAGTTTTTGTCCTAGTATCGGGTCTAATATCAGGTATAAAGCATCGAAATTGATATCGGGACAAACAAAAAGCTAGATCGGTGCATTTCTAGTCCCTTTCCTTACTCATTCTGAGCATCCTAATTACTGATCCACAAGGGAAATTTTTTGGACCCAGTGACTCACACAACACAATGCATGATAATAACAAAGAGAAAGAATAGAAATGGCAATGATAAATCCAAAATAAGTAGTAAAAATAACAAGAGACTGGTGTCAAATAAGGCATAATCATATAGATGTGTAGTAGAAGTAAAAGAAGTAAAAATGCAAAAATGTAGTACCATAAAAATATCTCTTTTCTTGCTGTACACAAGGAGAAAGAGCTCAAAGATGAAATGGTGATTGACATGACATAGGGTTATGTGTTACATAAGGGTGAGTTGTTGTACAGTTGTATGGAGCATTATAGAAACGCAGTCGTGTATCGCTCACTATTATATCTATTCGCTGTCATTATTCTCATTTTTCACTGCCAGCTAGCATGGTAACGCACACCTCCTGATTATCGGGCAGAAAATGGAGTGGACTTATGTTGACATTAAAAGCTGCTCTGTCTGTAAAGCTGCGTATCTCTACTGGGGTTTGCTCAAATAATGGGAAAATGAGTCACACTTCTTTGAATTGGTGGTAACACAAAGTGAAAATTTAGTGCGGCAGTTGTCAGATTAAAAATACATCATTTTTGACGCTCACAAAAATTGAGATTTGAGTGTTAAGAATGCATTTTTATTAACAATTTTTATTTTTATGTTCTCTCTGCATGGCTCTTATAAATGTGAAATTGCGTTTATCAATGTATATCAAGCATTTTGTTACCCTCATAGCATAATTTTTTTGTCAAAGTAAAAAATAATAATACAGAAATAAATGTATTCGTCAATAAGATGACTGGGATGGTTTGTGTGCATGTTTTGTTTTGTTGTTTTTTTATTCCAGGCACTTGTTTTTTTCAAAAACTAAGCCGATCACACCTACAGCTGCAGCAGGGAAGTGGAATAAGTAAAAAAAAAAAAAAGAAATTGGCTAAAAATGTCTTGTAATATGATTGTAATGATTTGTACTGTCATAATGTATTCCATTTTTCTCACATTATTTTACATTATTTATATTACCACAGCTGGAGTAGACTGACGGAAGAGAATCTGCCAATCACAATGAAAGTACATTTAGTTAGACTGAGAATCTTTTGACTTTCTGGTTGTCGGGTTCGTGCTATAATCACTAAACCACTTTCACCGCTCAGTAAAATGGACCAAAAACAGAAGGACCAAAAATTCTCAGAAGCTATTGTATTGGGCAACTAAAATAATGTTGCTAAAATGCTGATTTCAGTACGATATTATCACGATATGCATCTCACAGTACGATATTTTGGAGAGGGTGATATAATTGTAGATAGGACACTTTTAAAATACCTTGACAATATTTTGGTGTGAATTATTTCCGTCGTAATCCCAAGAATTCAAGTAAAAAACATATTTCTTCATGTTGCACTGAAATGAATCATGGGATATGTAGTTTCCGATGTTTATAAGCTGTTGCTGCTGTAAAATCATGCATTTTTTAGAGGTGCAACAATATCCAAGACTAACAATACAATATCGTCATGGTATGAACCTCACGGTACGAATATTTATTGCGATATCGTGGGAAAGCTCACGATTAGAGACGTAACGACATCCAAATCTCTCAGTACGATATTTTCATGATGTACATCTCACGGTACAATATTTATTGCGAATTTTTCTGGAGCCTAACAAAACTGTGAATATGCAACTTTTTCTTCTTAAAATGTCTTGACTTGACTTAATCCAAAGAACTAAGACGTTAAAAGTGTTTAGAACTGTTATTTCTTCTTGTAGTCTGCACTGAAATGAGGGCAAAGGATCATGGTCTATGTAGTTCCCTCTGTCTTTTTGTAGCTATTGCTGCACCATAACTCATAATAACTTGTAATTCGATATATTGTGACGGCCCACGATATTATTGTGTGACTTTTGATGATACGATATCACAATATTTCGGTTATTGTTACATCCCTTTTATGCAGAATTGATTCTTGTGAGTTTTAAGCCGTTACCTCATCAAAACATATCTGGAGTTTTTGGTGTTTTATTATTAGTCTTGTCTACGTCTCCAAAGCTCACAATGCTCTGTTCCACCTTGTGATGTCAAAAAGCTCTTTTGACCTTTAGTTCACCCAAATGATTTTATCGAAGGTGTACGGAGTTTAAAAACAAGGTGCAGTGTTTTCAGTTTGAGCGAAGAACTCAGCCTAAATATGGACGGTTTGTAGGAAAAAAACATGATAATGAGATCATAAAAAAGCATAATATGAGACCTTTAATAGAAATGGTCAGTTGTATTGCTCATTTCTTGACTCCAAAATCATTCAAAATCAAATTACGTTCAGCTAAATGTAATTACAAAAAATCTTGTGACCACTTTTTCCAATATTATGAAACCAATTTGCCAATATAAAAAAGCTTTGTCCCGTATTTGACCAACTTTTGTTGTACTTATAGAGGAAAAAAAGTACCATATATTTACTTTATGTACTTTTCTCCACCCCCAACAGTGAACTCAACTCAAAACAACATAGCTAACAATTAACAGCTGGTCTGGGCCTACAGATGAAGCCGTTCTCGTGAATTCTTGGAGATGCAATTTTCTACTAGAACAGTCACCCAGCTGTGCGTGTGATTTCCTCGCTATATTTACTACGTCTCTCTCAGAAGCTTGTGTCTTTGTAGATTGGTTCAACAAGACAAAACCAGGAAGCTGCATAAAACCGTGCGTGTTTCACTCCGGCCACATGACAAAGCTACAGACCGTGCCAAGAAAGAAGCAAGTTCCGATGTTTTACTTTTCTGGAAATTACAAAGAGTTGATGTGAGAAAGAAAAAAAAAAAAAATGCCTGATTTGAATGTATTTTAACAGAGCAGATTGTCCAGTTAAAACAAAACTATACTTGTTTGGTCCAGGTTTTCAACCCATAGTCCAGACGCAGACCTGGTTTGGTCTTGTTTTAGTCTTGGTTTAGTCCTGGTTTAATTCTATTCTTCTTTTAGTCCAATTTTTACGTGATGTGCAAGTCTGAATCACCCTCAAATGAAAGACTAAACCAAGATCAAACTTAAATCATAATCAGGAGTTGAAAAGATGACAACTAAAACGCAACTTCTTGAAATTTTTAAGTCAAAACATATTTTTATTTTAAGCTTTTTGAGTATAAACTAAACCGTAAAGCTCAGGATCGTCAAAAACTTTGCATTATTGACCAAATTTGCGAAATCTATGCAAATAGTGCATTAGCAAATACAATAAATAGTAAAAACGTAAACAAAAGAGCTATGAAACAACCTGATAAACTGCTGGATGACTATTGGTAAACACATTTAACACTCTGTAGTGTTAAAAGTGCATTTGAATAAACACTGAAGCATGTTATAGTATTAAAATATTGGTTTAACATTAAGCTTACTGAAAATTTTTTTGATCACACAATACAGTACATTTACATAGGCTATACCTTTTACTGCGACATCTTAAATTGCAGTACTTCTTCTTCAAGACTTTAATACAGTCTATAATAGTTTAAAAAATGGTAGATATATAGAAGTACAAATATCTTACCTTGAGCATGTCCCCCTTGTTGAAACTAAGTTCGTCTCCCTCCGTTGCGCGAAAGGTGTAAAGTGCTATTGCTTCCATGCTGACTTCCTTGACTGGACACCCCGCTGAAGCCCCCGACGCAGGGGAAGGGGTTAAACCAAGACAAAATACAAAACAGATCTCAATGACAGAAATGCTATTCAAATAAAATCATGTGTGGGGGGGAAAAAACTGGTGGATGCGATGTGCGGGAGAGCGGAGGATGGACTGGCTGGCTGCTGCTCGGCAACGCTGCCATGAGTAATGCTGGGAGAGAGAGAGAGATGGAGAGATGGTCGAGCGGAGGGGAGAGAGAGAGAAAGAGGGAGGGAGGGAGGGTGAGTGGGAGGCACTTCCTGTGTGTGTGTATATTTGTCTCATGCAATCTGTGTGGCTTCTGTGGACATGTTCTTTGCTTTGAGGACTGCGTTCAGTTGATGTAGTCTTTAGCTGCCCTCGACTTGCTCTTAGCCTTATTATATATACAGTATGTGCAATTATATAATGTGATTGACTGGCAGACGGACTAACAAATCAATCAAGTGTTAATGATTTTGATTAGGTTTGATGGATGGTTTGACATTTGAATGTAGTTCACAGTGCAGATTTTCAACACATTCAAGACAGGGACAGAGATTTACCTAATTCGCATATTCCTGGTCATGAAAAAAAGAAACAATTAAAATTCAAACTGCATTTTTATTTGCTTTATGTTGTACAGCTCTAATTTGTTCAATATAAGTGTCTCACAGCAGTGTTAAAGGTAATACTGGTTTGTTTACGATCAAAACTGAATATGTGAAATGTCAAATATCATAGAGAGCATTTTTTGGATTTCTGTCATAGGATCTGGCAACCCAAAGTGAGGAGCTGATTCTGCTTTCTGATTGGATGTTTGGACCAAAACACTAAAATGTAAACAATTTTGACAAATGGTAATAATATTGAATATAAGATTACAGTTGTTAACAGTAAAGCCAATATTTGATTTGAACATTTTTACGTAACACACCCGACTTGAGGGCAGAGGCAGTGCTACCATTAGGCAAAAGTAGGCGGCTGCTCAGGGCCCCCAAATCTGGAGGGGCCCCCAACCAATTGCCCTCAGTGCCACTAATAGCTGAAGCCTCAGAGCAATTTGATTTTCTCTCAATATGACAATAAATGAGAGTATTGTACTTTTAAACAATAATCATTAAAAAAATAATAATAATAATCATATGTAATGGATGTAAACAAAAATGTAATTGTAAAAGCAAAAAAATAAAACTACTTTCAGCTCTGGTTTTCTAGTGGGTGACCAAACTAATAAGACAAGTTTAAAATCCACCATCACTCAAATAAATAGAGATGTGCATGTCTTAAGAACAATGGGGAAAAACAGACAATAAATATATTCAAAAAAAAAAAACAAAACAAAACAAACTAAAAAAAATTGTGTATTATTGTGTGGGCCCCACACTCAAGTTCGCCTAGGGCCCCCAAATTGTTGACTCCGCCACTGCTTGAGGGGGATATTCTGCCCATATTATGTCCCTCTTCAAAAAAAGGCATATTTGAGTAATTTAGTGATCTCTCCCGAGCCGTGTTTGAACCCAACTTACAGATTCTGTCGAATGCCCACGAGTCTGCGTCACCCATGCTCCCACACGACAATTCTCCATAATACAGAAACTTCATGATACAAAACAAAAGTTACACTTAAAAAAACATGTTAATACGTTCTTTTCGGCAAGTATAGCATTTTCCAAACAACAAAAGGTAAATGGTGATTTAAATATGTTATGTGTTAGCAGTTAATACCCCAAAGAAGTAAACTTCCCCCTTTTTACTGAGCTGTATATGTGAAATATGCAGTATTTAAAGAAGCAAATGTACAGTATTACGTGCAAAAGTACCTCAGTTAGTTTGTTTATCAATCCAAAGGTTGGCAGTTCGAATCCCACTCTCAACATAAACACCAAAGCCACTGACCCGGAGATTGGCGAAGCAATTTCACCTCCCACAGACAAATACTGTTGTTGTTGTTGTTGCCCCCACTGATGTGCGAGGTCTGTTCCGTGATGTAAAGTGACCATTTTCCATTATCGTTTATAGTGTTATTATTGTATTATTCTTATTACGTAGCTCAAATATCCTAGTATGTACAATCCTCTAACCGGCCACAGCAAAGAGAATGTGTTCTTCTTGAAACTCTGCAGCCTGGCATTATTAAAAGCGTCTAAATTTGTCTTCTCACATCAATACTTCCGGAGCGTCATGAATGAACTTTGTGATCAATAGACTTGAGCCTGGAGCAGATAAAACACAGCGCGCATTGGTTATTTTTGGACATCTTTGAAGAACTGCTTTTCCCCACCAAGAGATTCTTATTAGTTTATGCCGTTATGTTATGTCAGTATGTTGGCCTATATTTTACTACTGGCTTTGAACTGTCAGATCTTAAAAGGTCGGGAGTAGAAGATAACAGTGTCCATTTGAAGTTCTAATCTTGATATAACTTGGTATGTTTATATGGTTTGGTTTACAAATGAGATGAAGGCTACGCTGTATAAAGTGGGTTAAGCATTTGCCCATAAACCAGAGGGTCAACGAAGACGAGAAAAACTATGTCTTTATATATTTATGCATTGTTTCCTAGAACTTTTTTTTTCAGCATGAATAGTTGTTGGTGCATGAACGCCCTTGCTGTCATAGGCTTATCTGTGTCTCCCCAAAAGAACACTTGGACTTTTCCATTTATTATTATTTATTTATACGTTTGGGAGAGAGAAACACATTTTCGATTCTTCATATGATTCGTATAAAGAATTGACAATAAACTGTTTTGAATCTGAACTTATGAGTGCAGTTTGGATCAGATACATAGAGATGCATAATCATTTAGAGAGCTTTTAGTCAAGTAAGTTCTGTTATTCCCATTGCTACTTTAAAATATTATTACTCACTTACTTATTACAGTAGAAGTGCAAAGTAGTTGTCCAAGGAATTAGTGTTTATTGAAATTACTCAGTTAAGTTTTAACTTCTTCTTTTTAAAGACAATACAGTAAAGTGTATTTATCTTGTTGACATGTTTCGGCTGCTGCTGCAAGCCATCTTCAGGACTGTCCCCAGTGTTGGTGGTGACTGTTTGTATATCAGCTGTTGTTATTTCCTGTAGGCGTGGTAAGTCTGATGGATCTGGCAGGTTGCTCAGTCTGATCACGCCTCCCGTCGCCCGGTGTTCTCTGGAGGAGGGTGTCCCAGGTGAAATAACCACATTCTGGATTGGGACGAGGCACGGGTTATTGGATCGGAAAACAACAAGTTCAAACGCTGGAACAAGGAGGCCAGTGAAATCAGGAAACGAGGCACGGACAGCATTAACCGTGATGATGGAGCGTTCCTCCTTTCACACACCTGGGACACCCTCCTCCAGAGAACACCAGGTGACAGGAGGCGTGGTCAGTCTGAGCGACCTGCAGGTCCATCAGGCTGACCACGCCTACAGGAAGTAACAACAGCTGATATACGACATGTCACCACCAACACAGACATGTCAATAAGGTAAATACACTTTACCGTATTGTCATTGTTGTTAAATTTTCAATTTTCAGTGGTACAGAAGTAATGGGGCAATCGACTGACTTGATACAGACAGGACAGAGGCTCTTTCTGCAGGAGACATGCGCAGTAGAGCCAAGTGACAGTGGTGCAGGAGTAATAGGAGCAGCAGATACTGACACACAAGACTAGAGCGCCCTCTTGCAGCTATCATTGTGAAAATTTTAATATATAAGTCGCAGCGGATTATAAGTCGGAGGTAACGCTGAAACCATGAAAAAAAGTGTGATTTATAGTCTGAAAAATATGGTAGCTTCTGTCTCAAAGAATTATCCTTATAGCAGTTGTGTGGGACCTGATTGAAGCAAACGCTAAAAAGTTGGATTTGATGAAACCTGAGGCTGGCTAAGTAGAAACCACCTTTTAACCGCTGCAGGTACTTTTATTTGCCCAAACTCTGATACTCGACATGACTTCATAAAATGTGGTTTGGCAGCATTATTTATTCAGGAAAGCCCCAGTCTGCTGATCTTATTACTCACCAAGGAGAAAAAGGGGAAGTTAACATGAGGAAACTAATGACTTTGCAGTTCAGCAGTGGTGGAAGAAATACTCGATTTTTGCCAAAAGTACTGATATCTGAGCAAAAAACATTCAAGTAAAAGTTAAAAATCTTCAGTAAAAGTGTTAAAGTAAGATTGTGAGGTCTTATATGGCTTCAAATATGGAGATTTTTTTATACACATTTATTTTTTTTCAATAGAAACAAATGAATCGATAATTTTTAGCTGTTTTTATTTGTAGATTTTTGTTTGCTTAAATTATGAACAGGTTAAATATAAACTCCTCAGCCTTTTCAGCAGGTCTCAAACAATAATAAAAAATAAAAATAACAAAATTGGAGCGCTCCACTGGATCAAAAACCTTACGCAAACAGGTGCTCATCAAACCGCTTAGATTCTCGTAAAATAGAAAAAAAGGATGGCAGAGGCAGTCTGATTTGCGGTGAATTTATTAATTTTATTTAATAATAAAAAATACTTTCCTTTTCAGTCCTGTTCAAAAATATATAGTGGAATAGAAAGTACAGATACCTGCTCTCAAATGCAGTGAAGTAAAACTAAAAAGTGTGCTTAAGTAAAAGTTTTATGTATTTGTATTTGACTTAAGTACTTTGTTATATTCCACCACTACAAACAGTGTAATCCTCTTAATCCGATGTATGTCAACTATGCATTTGACATGAAGGAATTTGGAAAGCACTGCCAAAGCAACCAAAGCAGTGAAAATGCTTAAATAATACAGGAATTGTTTTGAAGTACAAGTAGTGGTACAAGTTACTACTATATCTACAACTGTTTCTATGTAACAGCTGCACACTTACTGCATACTGTACTGATTTTTGTGGAAATTGGTGGTTTTGAAGAGGAAAGTTTCTTGTGGGAGTTTATGTATGAGATTTTTGGTCGCTTAAGACTTGGTTTGAAGTGTTATAGATAAAGATGGGCATTACACATCCTGTATCTATCGCCATGGAGACAAGCAGCCACAAGGTTCAGTTACAGGTCAGATATCTGAAGAGGTGATCTCACTCACAGCCAGAGGTGACAAGTGTTCAGATACATTTACTCTACGTTATATTTACTTCAGTCACTTTTTAAAGAAGTTGTACTGTTCTAGCAGAATACTTTTACTCCTACTTTAGTAAGTCGACAAG